TTGCCTGAGAACCTGACTGTTGGGCTGACATTGACTGTTCGACAAGCTGAGGGTCGAGTGAAGGAGCCAGTTGAGGAGGCTTGACCTTCCGTTTGAGCAGGGTAACAACCCCTCTCAACTTTGCTTCGACCGCCTCGGTCGCAGTGATCATCCCCACCCCCGGAAAGCTCGAACATGTACGAGCCAAATGTCGAAAGAGGCCATCAATACCGTAACGTCCTTGGTGAAGGGTTCGAGGGAGAACATCAGCACCTATGTGTGCATTCAAATAGTCATCGACTCGATCCCAGAGTTCGTGGTCCTGGTAGGGCTCCTTTGGGAGGAAAGATTGCCGGAAGAACTCGTGGAATTTGCTTGCAGGTTGGGCAACAGGTATAGTAGAATGCTTGTCTATTGTCTCAATCTCAGAAAGGACCTCTTCCAAAGAGTCAGGGAAGGGTTTGGGATAATCGGGCTGAATTGGGTATCGGGGTGGAAGGCACCTGAGATTCCACACGACTGGGGGTTGAGCAAGGCCGCCGAGTAGGATTGGGCTGGGAGTTGGTAAGGGGGGGATTGGGTATAGGGGTGGAAGACACCTGAGATTCCACACGAGTAGGGGTTGAGCAAGTCTGAGGTTGGAGTTGATTTCCAAGAGAATTGGAAAGCCCTGGAACCCCAGCCGGAATCGGGGGTACAGGGGTTGGAACAGCTTGAGGTATGGCAGAGATTCGAAGCTCCGAAGGAGGAATCAGGGGGCCTGGGGTGGGAATAACCAGAGGTATCGAAGGGATTCGAGGCTCCAAAGGAGGTGCTGGTGGCGCACTAGGAGTGTTACCTGAAGGCTCTTTCCCTGTGGAAGCAATGAAAAAGGGGTGGAAATACCATATATGATCATACGTTAGTTGTTTGATCATCCAAAGATCAAGTTATTCAAAGAGAAACTTACCAGAGGGTATCATTGAACCAACATTACTTCTTTCTACAGCTGGGTTAAAGGAGGTGCATGACATAAATAGAAAAATTATGTGGGTCAGCTGATTGATCAATGAATGCCGAGGATAAAGAAATCTATAACATACTGGGAGTCTTTTGAGAAGTGGTTTGAGTTGGATTTCCTTCCTTGCCTGGAACCTTTCCAGTACCTTCTTGCTCTATACATACCACAGTTTCTATGGAGTTTCATGAGATAAATAAAAATGTCATGTTGGTCAGTTGATTGATCAATTGAGAACGATGATAAAGAGCCCAAAGACATACCTGGAGTCTTTTGCAAAGGGGTTTCAGTGGGATTTCCTTGGACTGGTTCCTCATTAGGATCATTAACCGTGTCTTCATCCGGAGCAGGATTAGGAGAATCTGCATTTGAACCGGAAGGATTGGCTTCGACTGGAACCTCATCAGCATCAATACCCGTGTCTTCTTTGCAGGCAGTTTCAGTGGGATTTCCAGGGACTGAATCCTCATAATGATCATTGACCGTCTCTTCATGGGAAGCAGGATTAGGAGCATTTCTGTGTTCAGGGGTACCGGGTAGAACCGCCTCTTTCAGGAGAGTGAGAGCACCTTGTAACTTGACTTGGAGAGGTCCATCGCAGGCATTATCCCACCCACGCAGAGTTCGCGCCTGCACTAGCCAGTGCCAAAACAACCAGTCGATACCGTAACGTCCTCGGCGAAGGGTTTGAGGGCGAACGTCTCTACCAATGCGTGCGTTCAAGTAGGGGTCAACCTGATCCCACAGTTCGTCCGCTTCATAAGGCTCGTCCGGAAAGAATGAAGAATGATCCGCGGAAAAAGCTGTGGAACTCACCGTCAGGTTCACCGGCAGGTATGCTCGGAGGTAGCTGAGCTATAGTCTCAATTTCAGAAAGTACCTCTTCCAATGACGCAGGAATTGGGTTTAGGATGGGTGCTGGGTCCTCTGCTAGAGGTTCATTGACTGGGGGTTCTTCCAAGTCGATGATGGGGTCCAGAGGTGGTGGAGAGGCTGGAGTAGGTGCCGGGGGTGCTGGGCCCAAAGGTGGTGTTGGGGAACGGCGAATTTCCGGTTGAACGATTGCAAAGGGAACCACCGACAATTTCAATAACTTTAGAATTGCTTCATAGCGATGCATCATTGCCATAGTGTCCGAGGTTGTCCAGCAGGGATCTCTCCTGACCCCGGCGAACCAAGAGAAGAGAAGCTGATAGGCATTCATCCCACTACGCAAGAATTCACGGTGGAATCTTGCTGGTGGGAAGGCGGTATCCCATGCCTCAGTGACATAATCAACTAGTGGGGCTTTGAGTGGTTGGTTGGGAGGTGGATGCTCGAAAGGGGTACTGAAGAACTCGTAGAAAGGATCTGAATCATCCTCTACCATGACTGGGATAGACGTAGGCTGTCTACTATATTCCACGATGTCGTTAGCCACCTTCGAGAATAGCACATTGACATTGGCGGCCAAGGTTGCTGGATTGGGAGTGTATACCGGAGGAGGAGAGGGATATTTTGTCGCTTGCGCAATTGGGGAACATCTGCGTGAGGGTGTTTGGTAGTCAGAAGATCCGGAAGCAACCCTGGAGAGTTCACCCCTCCTCTTGGCGTTGCGAGGTAATTTGGGTTGTGGCTCGGGGGTCTTCAACGCGGCAACCTTGCGAGACTTGGCAGCAGATGGCCCAGAAGAAGAATTACCGCGGTGTTGTTGTGTAACCAAGGTGGCGGAGAGCTGGTTTGTCGCGTCAGGAGGAGTACGGCGTGGTTCTTTAGACGAACTGGCAGAGGGCACAGGTGACACAGCACGTCGCTTGCCCAGAGCATTGTCTGTGGGCCTCGGAGGGAGGATTACCTGGACCAATGAGTCAGGATCATTCTCGAAAGTGCCATTGTGAAGGCCTGTGTA